TAGCAGATCCGCCAGCTTTCATCACTATAATAAATAGATAGTGGCAGAGCAGCAAAGATTATTATAATATTATTACTTGCCGTTAGATAGCAGATCCGCCAGCTTTCATCACTATAATAAATAGATAGTGGCAGAGCAGCAAAGATTATTATAATATTATTACTTGCCGTTAGAAGGTACACAATTGAAATGATYGTGGTAGCGCTAGAATCCCCTATAATTGATGGATCTGATACTKTCCTACCTTGCCGCCGAGGATATCGTCTTGAGTTCGGTGTTTCGCAGGAGGATCCGTTGTTGCACCCCAGATAGTTCCCGTCAGAAGGTACAAATTTAATGAAAATCATSCTACAGCCCTCTCGACAATCCCCTTTAATTRCTGTGTCTGATACCATCCCAGCTTGCTTAGGATATGGCATTTTCGGTGGAGCTGACTCTAGATATGCCTAGTGAATGCCTCTCTAAAGATGAACTAGTTCACCTAGTAACCTGATGAAACTGACACTTGTGGTCAGATTGCCCTCCTGATCAGCATTGATCTAAGCCTCTTCCTCAGATTTTGGATTGACTCATCAGTCCGAAGCTAATCCACGTATGGCCTCTAGGCGCGCTAATGGAAGTGGTAGTATTCCCCTTCCCCTCAAGACTGAGTTCCTATTTCTGATTGCAACAACCTGCTACCTCTCCCCACCCCCCCTCCCCCTGTCCACTACCTCTCACCGGCCATCCGGACAACCAACCGATTTGAAAAAATGAGCAAACGAAAGTACGTGCTACCCATTCAAATGCCACAGCGTAGAGTCGTGCAAGTTCTATTTTTTTTACCAGCTACCGATGTTTGCAGATAGACATATCGATCGACGGATCATTGATTGCCGCAATAAGTTAACGTTGTTTACATACATACACGTAGCAGCCCGACTGACCACACACACGAACGATCCCTGCCTGATGTGCTCGAACCATCATGCAACCCACACAGAGAGAACAATGTCATCACGTCATCCCTTCTGGCACCCAGCCTGTGAACGTCGGAGCCGACAAAACTTGACCAGCACCTCCATACGGATAGTACGCGCATAAAAAAAAAAAGAAAAAAGATAGTACGTTCATATAATATTGTCAGCCACTTGCCAGATCTGTGGTCGTGATCAAGTTTACAAAAATTTGTACGTTTTGGATATAGCATATGTGTTTTGGTTGATTTTATGAATATGAGACCCACACCTTGCTACCTAAGATTCCATAAGTTGTAGATGCTTGTGCCTGAGCATAATCTATTTTATCTGAGAACACATGCAAAGATGTTTGACCATATTTTCTGCTTTCAGTCTTAGCAATCTCTGCACCATTGTTTCAACCTGAACAACTAAATTAAATGCGAATTCCTGCTTTTCCCACCGAAAACTCCCGCCCTCAACCCCTCCTGGCGCGCCTCTTTTCCTTCCTTCCGATATGCTCACTACTGAGAGCAAGCTTCGGCGTGATAACTGTGCCAGCAGACAAGTGCAGTCACTCTCCCTGTCCTTCTACCCAAACCCTGGCAGTTAGATTTCCGCAGTCTGTCTATTGTCCTTATGCTTGTCCTTGAGGACAAGGGGCCGGCTTGCACACGCTGCTGCAGCATATTAGAGTTTGGCCGCACCTGTAACCGCATGCTCCACAATTGTTCCTGTTGTGCTTCAGGTCGACGCAGATCCCGCTGCAGCAGGTTTCACCTGCCAGGCAGCCAATGCCACAGCTTCCGCAGTTGGTTGTGTCAGTCTGCAGGTTCTTGCAACTCCCGCTGCAGCAGCTTTCGCCTGCCCCGCAGCCAATGCCACAGCTTCCGCAGTTGGTTGC